AGCCCTGTTTCACATATGAATGCATGCTTTCTGAGGCGCATGCGGAAATATAGATACGCCCTTACGTCAAAGGAACGACGAAATAGGTAACACAAACGCCGTAAATCTATTCAAGATTTTTGAAAGTCCTTTAGCAAATTGCTCCATTACTAGAATACCAGCTTGTCTTGCTTCATTTTTTTAAGTGTGGTTTCTCGAAAGTATGACACCGTCATTTGGAAAATATAGAGGTCGAATGATCACTGATGATTTTGTAACTAAGCATTTTATCATAGATGTAAAAAGACTGCATAAAACAAACAAATCATACTCGGAGTGGGCTTTTTAAAAAAAAGCCTGTCGCGGTTGAAAGTTAAGCATATAAAAGCAGGGTTGTGGGTAGTTCTACACCCAAAGCCCTGCACGATTAGTAATGAAATTGAAAGAGCCTGGACGTTGGCCTTGGAAGGATAGGTTATTTTCCATCCATTTTGGCAGATTGTTTGCATTTGTTTTGCAGATTTTTATCTAAGTAAAGCATGGCTAAAAATACTTAAAAGAATCCCTGGTAAAAATTGGCAGTAGAATGTGTGTTCCAAAATACTATGGACCTAAAGCCGGCTGTACCATTTCTTATAGCCTTTTATAGCCCATGGCGATTAAGCTACAGTCAGACGATAAAGTTTATGCTAAACGTTACTAAATACGGATACTAGGACTTAGTTTTTGGACTACCGCTCTCTTTTTGTGCCGTAGTATCTTGATTTATTTTGCGAGGAAAGCTCCATACTTTTGAAGGATGCCTGTCATTCTTATTATGTTGGAGCGTCTTCAATTTCTTATGATACTGTGCAATACCTCTGGTGTGAAATAGTTGCTTCAGACGCTGTGGCACGCTGCGGCGCGGCGGGCGGGCAGAGAGCGCGAAACGCGCATTGACGCCTACAAACCTAACATGGATACTTCACGCATTGCGCAATGCGTGAAGTATCCCTGTTAGGTTTGTAGGCGCTAGTGCGTCGCCGCTCCGTTTTGTGTTAGGCTCTAATATTTAATCTCGCGGAGTCAGCGTTTTTCACCTCATGATTTTGAAATGTTTGCACACTCTGTATGGATTATTCTGATTTTAATTGATGAAAAAAAAATATGTTTTAAAGGAAAATATAATGTGTGTTTTGTAAATATTAAGGTATAGTTCCGTATCAAATTTGATGATTTCCAAAGCACACGAATTTCTTATAGCTTTTTATAGCCAATGGCGATAAAGTGTAAAGCCCGGCAATAGGAACTATAGCCCGACTGTATACTTTTTTATAGCTTCGTATAGCCCGGCCATATGATTTGGTCCGCTTTCTACAGCCAGCTATGATTTTCAATAGCCTTATTAGTCGGCTATAAGAACTCCTATGATATTTTGAAACGCAGCTCCTATCGCCAATTTTTACCAGGAATATTGAGTTTACTGGAGCCTTGGTTGGTTTTTGCGAGGGTTCCCAGTTTTCCGCTTCGAGCCGGCCTCTATGTAACGAATGTTACCAGTCCCATATTGTTGCAAATTAGAGTGCGTACGCCCCATGACCGCTTCGCGGTCCAACCACCCTAGGGCACTCCGCGCTTTAGGTGACATGCGTTACGCGATACTCTTATGCTTTTATATAACAAATTTAAACATAGATTTTTTTCAAAAAGCTCAATGTAGTTATGGCTCACTGGGAAAAAAGTCTCTTGGGTCCTGAGTCCAGACCAGAGACAAAACTCTTAAAAAAAATTGACAAGAAGAAATAATCTGGCTTTAATAGGATTTCTGCTTAAGAAAGGAAATCCGCTTAAATTAGGAGACTGAGCTCTGAGCTCTCGATGCAAGCATAACGCCGTAACGTCATCCTGAAGTAGCTAAAGTCGTCCTGAAGTCGCTAACATCAACCTGAAGTGCTAACGTCCTCCTAAAGTCGCTAGCGTCATCCTAAAATCGCTAACTTCACCCAAAGATTTGATTGCCAGCATTTTGACATAATCAGTAGTTTGAGAGAGAGATCCATCAACGCCGAGTTTACAATTTACCCTGAATCAAGAGTATTTTTCCTTGTCAAATTGATGAAGAGTCAAGACTCTGGATCCAAGAGACTTTGTTTTCCAGTGCTGGTTTGCTTAACGCTTTTCTACTGAAAAATCTTAAATAAGATTACGGTGTTTCTGATGTGGTCGGCGACTTTCAGGGCTGAGGAGAACTTGCGGCAAAGTTTTGTCGCGTCGGCGACTGGTGGTCTGGGTGCTGCGCAGCGCAGAGTTATGTAATTGGAATAGCGGACCCAGTTCGTCATCTGGAGGAATGCTTGAGCTGGACCGGTGAGGCGGTGAAGATGGTGATTGGTGATTGGTGAGCTCCCGGGAGCAGCCAGCCCCGGCGCCAACGAGCCATCAGCCGACATTTTGCCAAGCGGCTGTACTTCCGCGGTGTTTTAAAATCAAACTTACAATCTTCGTCGTCAGTGCTCTTACTTCACTTTAGAAATGTTAGATGACATCATGGCCGGAAAACCTAACTTTTAGACATCATCTACAAGTAGAGATTTTAGATGATGAAACAGGACTTGACGGCACCAGGGTTGTCCTAATTGCTTAATCTCAAAATTTCCCGACTTACCCTGATTTTTCCCTAGCTACTTTTGATTTTCCCTGACTCCAAAATTTTTGAATGCCCCGACTTTTCCTGACCTTCGAACGTTTCCACCTTTTTTTTATTTCTTAAAATACGATACTTTCCGCTAAACGTCGGATAAAGTTTCCTTGATTACGGGTCAAAATGATAGATACAGGGTAACAGCAGCAGGTTAACACATGAAAATCTTTAATAATGATTATATGGGTAAACAGTTGGAAAATCAGTGATGTTTAAGTGACTATAGGTAGATGTTTTGGAAATGCTCTGACATTTCCCACGAAATCCCTGACTTTTCCCAGTCATCACAATTTGCCTACCTTTCCCTGATTTTCCCAGTTTTCCAGACTGTCAGCAGCCCTGTGACACGGAATTAATGTGTTAGAGGTTATCCCCTTAAATTTTAGTACTTCCCCAATGGAGATGTTGCATCTGTGAGGAATTTGCGAATTGACTATTGATTCCTATGTAAAAGTTCGCGAGAAACACGATAAAGCCACTAGTTTTCTCTGAAATCAACTCCCAAGCTCAAAAAAAGCTCTCAAGTTGAGGCCAAAATGAAGGAGATATCCCACGCTATCCTGAGAGTCCACGTCTACACCAAGACAAACTCTCCATGCGAAGATAGGGAGCAAATACATTAGCAGAGTTGCCGTGTTTTCAGTTTTAGAGTCCCCGAATAAAGTGGTAGCCCTGTCAATGTATTTGCTCCCTATCTTTGCATGAAGAGTTTATCTTGATGTAGAGGTAGACCCTCAGAATAGCGTGGGATATTCCCTCCATTTTGGCCTCAACTTGAGAGCTTTTTTGGAGCTTGGGAGATGATTTCAGAGCAAACTAGGGGCACCATCGTGTTTCTCACGAACTTTTACATGAGAATCAATAGTCAAATCGCAAATTCCTCACACATGCAACATCTCCATTTGTTGCCTTGTTGGATGATATGGACATTTCCAATTAATTTCAGTAGTACCGCAACATTTATGCAGTATTGCCGTTCAACATTGGCGGAGTCTCCTGCGTCCTGGCATTGAAGAGCACAATTTTTCTCGGCTCCGAACCACCACTCGGCTTCTCACTGTGACGTCGCTCTTCTCAATTTAAGCTGAAATCGACGGCGGAAGTAATGCACGAATTCGGGGCGATGCGGAAAAATGTACCAGAACCGCGCCGATTTGTCCCACTCCAATTTGTCACCATGTGTTATCTGACGCCATGCGTGCATCGGCCGTGGCCTAATTAGCCGTCGTACGGGCTCATTTACTTACACCATGCTCGCCACTGGGCTATCCGTCGCGTCGGCCGGCGCGGGAGTATAATATGTAAACGAAACCTCTCGCGCGTCACCTTGACCTATTGGTTGTAATTACAACTCTCTCTCGAGCATTTTCGCCGATGAAGGGTGCTCCCTTCAATGGAACATCTCGATACTCTGTGACTCGGGCTATCACTGTAGAGTCGATGAAATAATCACGGGAAAAAAGCACGGGATTGCTTGATGATCAGGGATATTTCCAATTAGTTGAGATAGTACCCCGATAAATTAGGTTCTAACCAAAATGTTGACCCCAACTTGAGTTGCGCTAGTACCGCGATTAATTGGAAATACACATTTCATCCAATAAATTGTGGTAGTACCAAAATTTTAGGGGGTGACCCCAACTTTTTTTCCCTCGTGACGTCAATTTCACGGCGAAGACGTTTTGGATCTCATACACCCATCATAAATAGGTCCTCGTATAATTCTTTTATAGTAGATCTATTACCCTGAACTTGAGAACCTTTCCTTTTCATGGTACAACCACACATTGAGATTTTTAAAATATATTTTCAATCACCTGCATGTTAAGAGTTAAAACGTTTGTGTGGCACACGCCTTTCGCGGAGTGGAAAAATCTTCAACAATTTTGGGAACACTGGTGAAAAAAGTAGCTTGGATCTAGAGTCCAGACTCTTAAAAACATTGACAAGGAAAAATACTCTTGATTCAAACGGATTTTTCCTTGAATCGGGCTGAGTGGCACTCCCTACTTTTACGAATCGTCTCTGATTGGCCAATCCGCCTGGTGCCTTCTTGCGGGGGCCCTTGTGGATACACTGGAGAAAAAACACATTGGATCTAGAGAGGAGACTCTTGAAAACATTGACAAGAAAGAGGACTCTTGATTCAATCATATTTAAGCTTAAATCAAATGGAAATCCGCTTAAATCAAGAGGCTTGGCTCTTCGATTCAAGGAAAAATCCGATTGAATCAAGAGTATTTTTTCTTGTCAATGTTTTTAAGTGTCTAGACTCTTGATCCAAGCTAATTTTTTTTACCAGTGAACTATAGAATGAAAAAAAACTTGGAGAGTGTCTTACCTTTGGCCCAGCCAGTGAGAACGTTGCCGAGGTAGGTGACCTTATACGAGGGGTCATACTCGGTGATGGTGACGGAGTTTCGGCGACAGAGTTTGCGCAGCCCCCTCTTCACCGTGCGCAGGGTCCGCTCCCGAAAGTCCTCCTTCGTCTCCACCTCCATCATTGCTCACCCTCCCGAGAGCCACATCTCACCGAGCCATTGCAGCCCCTTCAAATGCCCCGATAGGCAACCTCAGATGCGACACCAAACGGGGGGAAACTCTATGCCGATCTGTTGTAAAGGACAGATGCGCCTTCGAATCGTTTGACAGGCAACCCGATTTCACCACAAATTCCTCGTTCGTGAATTTCAAAAATGGGCTGGCTCTTGCTGTGTTAAGTATGATTTTTATACTTTGGAGGTCATTAAACTATCGAGTTATATTCATTTGAGAGCTTATTGAAAGGATGGCAAATGAGTCATGCTACACTTTTTTAGTTTCAATCGCCTGTTGTGTTCATAGATCGAGCGTGTTTCTTGTAAACTGCATCTGCAACAAAAAAATTGAATAATAAATTAATTAAAGTTGCTACTTTTGAATTAAACATTCTTTCATTTTGAAAATAAATGGGTGGACATTGAAAGTCGCGAAGAGAGAGAGAGAGAGAAAAGAGTATTATTAATGTGCACATCAAACAAGTTGTCCGATGCGGTATATTTTTTGTGAGAAAAAAAATATATGCGTGAGAAATTAATTTTTTGCGAATTCTCATTAACTCATACCAACGAGCTGAAAAGAGGGCGTATCAAGCGTTTGATCTATGTTTCTCTTAATGACTCCTATTTTCCGTCAAACCGAAACATAAAAACGGAACTCTTTCCGTTTTAAACGGCAGTTTAAAAATAACAAACCTACCAGCAGAGAGAGAAAAGTAATACACGAATCAGAAAACGTAATATGTGAACAAGGAAAACTAAACCTGCCGACCAAGAGACAATCACGGCGCCGGTCATGACAAATAGTGAGAATGAAAGACCTCAAATAAATTTCAACAGTCCAGAATAAAACACAAAGGCGAGACATTTTTAATTTTCTGCTAGTTTCCTGAAAAGAAGAAGAAGAAGAAGAAGAAGAAGAAGAAGAAGAAGAAGAAGAAGAAGAAAGTATTCATTTTGTTGCATCATAAAATTTTGTCCCTCTCCAGTGCTTTGAACGCTCCACACTACTTGGCGAGCTTTGTTCGTACCTACCATATCGACATGCTCCGATTTCACGGCGAGGAGCTTAACAAGCACGAAACAATAAACCACGAACGTGGAAGTCATAATCGACGCATCTCTCATTCGAAACGAGGTGAGCAGTGTCGGTTGAGAATTTTGGTCATGCAATTAGTGATGTAATCCCACATGTTATACCGACTCCCTGACTTTCGGGTCGAAAAATTGGACGCGAAGTCGAATTTGAACTCGAGGCACATGGTCAAAAGCGCCTTCAAATTGTGAATAATTTTAGTCAAAACTTTTAGACAGTTTTGTACACGATTTGATCTAAAATATCGAAAAATTTCAAGATAAATGTGCATAAATGCCATCAAAAATACATATTTTATGAAGCATATATGAAAATGGCGCGGAAATATGGCATCTCTCGAATACTCATATGACTTCCTTCCTTAGCACGGCAGAATAAGCATGTATGCACACGTAAAACAAGGCTCACGTGGAAATTAAGATATACACCCTTCTCCCTTCTGTCAGACTTATTAGAGGAGCGACGAAATGTCTCCAAACATTCCCAGATTTGTGACATGAGACTGACATGTGGATCTGCATCTTGAACGGCAAGTGCAGCAGAAAGATCCAGCCTCATTTGTTTTCTTCAATCAAAATTCTGAGTGTTTCTACAACATGCACGTCAAGCCAATTAGACCCTCCGGTTCGTGGGATTGCGTCAGCTGGGTCTAGCATCGCCCATTTGGCACAAGTTGTTTTGAAGCATTTACGCGGAGCACTCGAGGATACACGTAGATCCACGTTGTCAACCGAGATTATCGACGATAAAGTCGAGAAAAGAAGTCTCGAGTGCCGCAATCAACCCTAAGTGTAATTACGTAATACGAAAGGCTATTGTATATTATAATTCCTAATTGTTAGATATGCAATTTGGACTCCATGTGGAGTTCGCGTGGTTGGAGTTCCCTCGTCACGTGATGACAACACGAAATCCATCTTCGGGACATGATGGTTGAGTGCGGTCAAAATCTCATCCCTGCAGATCTTGAGGACGGCTCTTCATCGCCCGCACTCGACAATCGTTCGATTAAGCCTTATCGCGACTGATTCTCTTAAGCACTACTTATCTAGGATTTTCGGCCGGCCCATTAGAAAGCCAACATACGATACGAAAGCACTCACGTTCGAGTGGCCTGAAAATAAGACAATTAAAAAACGACCTTGGAGAACTTTCACCTATAAAATCGGCAAAACTATTCACAGATCATCGTTTCACACGCGCAAGTACGCGACAGGGACATAATACAATATTGACAGCTGGAGCAGCCCTTCAACACCTACGGGAGGAAGGCGGTGGTGTAGGGAAAGATGTGAGCAACGGCATCTTTAGGGTTTCTTAGGGGTATCTTTGGGGTTTAAAAAATCGACTCTAGACCTTCTCCTTCCCCACTCGAGCTAGGTAACTTGATCTGTCTTCGAGACCGAACTAAGTTCAATACCTACCTTCACAAAAAAAGTGTCGTAATTTCACCCAAAACAGGCACCGTCTGTAAATAACGTCAGGTGCATTTTGGATTTTTTTAACCCCTCCCCTTTCCCCTTTTCTTCAGATGCCAGTGCCTATCAGGCACCCCTTGAGTGCCCCCCCCCCCTCACTGGAACCCTAACGTTATTCACGGAAAAATAAACGGTGTAAGCCAATTAAGGCTTTCACCCAAACTTTGTGGTTATAACAATCCACCCATCACCAACTCTCTGTAAGCCCTGCTCCACCTCTACCTTTTTTTCTCTTTTTTTTCAACTTTTCGAGTCCCGTTGTTAAACGCACCTTTGGGTGAACAAATATTTTTACATCGGCGCGGTATTATTACACGAGCGGAATGTTTCGGCACGACCGAGCGTGCAAGAATCCGAACATTTCGAGCACGGAATTCGCCGGCATGAAAATCACGGCCGGGCTTTACTGCCGCGCTAAGGGAAAACGCTGTATGAGTCTTTAAGCGTTGACAGATCTCCTCTAATAAATAACGAATTTTCGGGAATATTTACGAACATTTTTCTTCCGATTTTTCAGAGAATTTTGTTCGTACTTTGATCTAAATAGTCTGAAAATTTCGAGGGAAAATATTCATAACTCTCTTCAATAATGAATATTTTCTAAGAGGAAATTTGGCAACTTACAAATACTCATAAGGCGTTCTTCCTTACCACGGCAGTTTACATAACCACCGTTTTCGAGTTGCCTCATAAATTTTCATCGGGAGGTGTGAGCGCTGCGCTTGACAATGAATCTCGGAAGTGGAGCGGTGCATATGACTGCACGTCAAAGTTCCCACACTCGCATCAACTTTGGCCGACACGAAAGGATGCATCGCATCAGCTTAAAAATCTAATCAGAGATCAACGTGACGCATAAGCCTGCTCAATTTTGACGACTGCGCAAGCAGAGATGCACAAAAAAAACAAAAATAACATCAGCAGAATAAACAGGAAGGGGTATATGACGAACTGAAGGTGCCGATAAAAATCATCGATTAAACTTTAGTGTGATTGATTACATACTTGATTGAATGCGGGATATCAATGAAGAGTAAGACGTATTTTGTTGGTAAAATAAACGAGAATGAAAAGTTAGGTTACCCGGGATCAAAATAATCGCGTCAAACGTTCGGTCAAATGGCGCTTCCCACACCCATGTGTATGTAAACGGAAGAAATAATTATGTCAGTGCAGTTTTGGGGTGTCACACCGTCATTCATTCTTTTTGGAAACAAAACTACTTAATATTTCACGCATGTTCAAGCAGATTAGACTTCCTCCTTCTATTTCGATGAGTAAATTATTTTCATATTTCCTTTTAAGCGTGGTTATCGACTGCACATTGTTGGGTCGGCAACGCTTATAATTTTCTGCGAAGGATCGTAGGAGTTTTAAATTCTAGCTTAATTATCAATGACGGAAAATTAAACGACGTTCGTTTTATCTCAGTGCCCACAGGGGAAAGCAAAGCTGAAAGTCATAGAGGTTCGCGTACGGGTAAAGTTCAAGGAAAGCCTCAGCTTAGGTTTTAATGGACTTCGGAAGATAAAGGTGTAAAATCTCTGGCACTTACATACTAGTTTTTAATCGCACATGGAAGTGCAAAAACAAACGCATCTTGTTACGCGACGTCGCAATCGTATTCGCGTGTGGTTTTGATTCATCTTCTTCACTCTTCACGCACGGAAGACTGATCCTTCAACACGTTGGTGTTTCTTTGCTGCCATGCTAAGGAAAAACGCCGTATGAACATTCGAGAATTGTCGATTTTTATCTGATAAAATGTTTGTTTTTGAGGAAAGCTATGAATATTTTTCCTTGAAATTTTCAGGAACTTTAGGTGAAATTGGGAACAAAATTATCGGAAAAATCGGAGGAAAAATATTTACGAATTTTCCGGGATATTCGTGATTTACCAAAGGAAATTAGGCAACGCCTGAAGGTTCATACGGCGTTTTTCCGTAGCACGCCAGTAGGGTCGGAATGATTTTCTCTCTCCTTTGGCTGCTGGCAATCATTCCAGGAAAGTGTTACGAAAAAATCAGCGGGCTTCTCTCTTGTGAGAAAATACAATTGTAAGTTATGAGGTGAATCATCAAGAATCTTTTCTTTGCACTCGCATCGTCTGTTTGCTGTCCTGTGTACACACTATATACAATGTAGCAGTTTCAAGGTTAATTCTACAGAATGGAAAGTGTTTACTGACTACTTTTTGTGTATGGGATGAGATCTACAGATACCCCGGAAACATCATCGACGCTGTGCTGGTTTAGACGCGCCATCTCTATGACAATCATTACAACAATCACAACTATCTGCATGCTTACACTAGTATCTGGAAGTTTTAACAACCTTTGCATGATGAAAGGGTTAAAATAAAAGTAATGAATCTAAAATTCGTACTGAAAGCCGCTACAACGCACTCTGAAGATTTGCAACACCTGAACGCTATATGGGCCCATCTTTTGTAAAAGTCATTGGGCGACTGACAAATAAAATATCTTTGTCAATTCGTACAGTGCTAACTTCAAACTTACCTCGGAGAGAAATTCGTACCTTAACGCTTTATCCGAAGTAAATCTAATTTAAATCAAAAGAAGTGAAAATAAATCGGGGCAAATTGCAGACCCTATTTTCAATCAGGAAGAAATCCTTTTTGTAAAAATGACCTTACACACATTGGTAAAAAAAGTAGCTTGGATCTAGAGTCCAGACTCTTAAAAACATTGACAAGAAAAAATACTCTTGATTCAAATGGAAATCCGCTTGAATCAAGAGGCTTAGCTCTTCGACTAAAGAAAACATCCAATCGAATCAAGAGTATTTTTCCTTGTCAATGTTTTTAAGAGTCCGGACTCTTGATCCAAGCAACTTTTTTTTACCAGTGCATCGTCAACTATTAAAGAGAGTTTGTTGAAACATTTACTTGCACATTACTAGAAAAATAATTCCTTTCGATGACAGTTTGTCGGCGTTTTCACGTTAATGGGAATTTCATTTTTTTTTTTTTAAAAAAAAACGAGTAACCCGTCTACTAAACTTGACGTCTCGCCGATGGTACACGCATGCGATTAGCTCAATTTACAAGAGGTTAATCAGCGGGGCGAGGCCATGGGCGTCATTAGATTCATCCTAATGATGAATATTACCGCTTTTGCAATCCCGTCTTTCCGCGTGCCGTCGCCTCACGAGGGGTTCCTTTTCCACACACGTTTTCGCAGCGTGTCTTCCTTCCTTGGTGGATTAATCATACTTGACGCTTAAATCCGAACCCAGGGCGGTTAAATCAACCGGATCCAATTTTTTGTTGGATCAAACCTCCTTAGATTAGCGAAGAGAAAACAAGAGCCGCGATTGAATCAGTGAGAACGAAAACACACCAACTCGGCACCTCGAAAATGCTCACTTTTCTCTAAAGACAAATAATTTTCATAAAGGTCATTGAAGTTACCGTATCTGTTCCAACTTGGAAAGTTGAAGTCAAAGTTTCCATATGAGTCATATGAGCTTGTAAATGTTGCTAAATTTCCTCTCAGAAAAAATCTATTCTTGAGGAAAGGTTTAGAAATTTTTCGTCAAACTTCTCACAAATTTTATATCAAATCAAGAACGAAATTCTCTAAAAAATCTGAGGAAAAATATTTACAAATTTTCACAAAAAGTCGCGATTTTTCAAAGTAAATTTAGCAATATCTGAAGGCTCATACGTCATTCCTCCTTAGTGCGGCAGAATATGGCGCGATGACAAAATCGAGTTTGGAACACTACGTTGCAATCAGAGGCGTAGCGTCAATTGCGATATATCGATTGATATGCCATTTAAACCTGCACGTGGAAAAAGATCGATAAACAGGGTGTCCGCAGCGAACACCTTAATAATCGATTCTTTACCATAGGTGTAAATGGCAGAACAATCGATACATCGCAAAGCACGCCGCGCCACTGAACACTACGTAGCAACGCCGGGACGTCCATGCGGCGTTTTTCCTCGGCACCAGAGGATGAGTGACACACTGACATTCAAACAGTCGAACAATAGTGGACTCGCAACCACTCGGAAGAGTGTGCTCGAAATTGAGGGGCACCTAGCTCAGAGTGACCGAGTGAAATGAGACCTATCGGGCCGATTGAGGCCAATCTCGTAGCACACTCTCTGCGTAGCACTACGCACTCCGGAGGCGCAGTACGGCACGGCTGACGGCACGCGGTGAGACATCCTCGAGAGGGGGCCTCGGGACCCCGGACACCTCCTCCGGGCCGTGGGAAAGGTCGCCGTCGAAAGGTGAGGGCGCCGTGTATCAATTCGACTGTGAGGATTGCGATGGAGCCGTTACATAGTCTGCCATACTTTGCATTGGCGATAGAAAATTACAAGTAGTTGAATAGGTAAATTTCAAGCTCTGGTATTAGACTATTTAGATCTTAAGGTAACTCAAACTGATAGCAGGTAGACGCACGAGTGTTATAGACAGTAAGTTAGAGACGTAGCCAATGTGCGTTAAAAATCCAGAAAATTGGAAATCTCAATACAGAGGGAAAAAGCTCATTCGAGCACAATTTTCCCCCAAAGAGATACGCTGTTTGGTTCAACATTAGTTATGAGTTTTCTGGATTTTTAACGCACGTTGGCGACATCTTCAACTTACTGTCTTCAGGTGAAATTAGCGAGGGAATCTTGGTTGAACGGTAAGGAATGTTTAAAATTTGACGAGGCATCTACCTAGGCGAAGCTAAAGCAATTTTCTGAGGATGACTCGACCCTTTTTCCAGGGGGTGTTTAGTTTTTCTCAGTACAAAGGAGATTTTGGGCTCGGTCCCCCCGGAGATTTTGGAAAATCGACCTTTCTTGAATGCATTTTGAGGCTTCTCTCACGCAAAATTTGAATGTATGCAAAGTTAGGGTTTAACTGTAGTGATGACCCTCAAAAATCATCTCAAAGTGTTACTTCGTTCCAATCGCACTATGGAATGATGCGCAAGGGAAATGCTAAAATTTTAAGGCTACTTTCTATCGTACATATTTTGAAGGGAGAGGGAGGCACATAACACTATTTCTGAGGGAGGGCTGAGGGAGAAAGGGCCAGGTTCACCCCAGTATGACTTCTTCGAAGACCTAAACCCTTGAGGAAACACTGCTAAACAATGAACGATCGTTGGTCCATTAATTTTCCTACTTTTTCTCTTGAAATTAATTCTTTAGTGCAACAGGGGGGGTTCTTTTAGTTCTACAGGGGACGTTCAAAATATGAGGAGAAGAAAAACTCTTTTTCTTCCAAGTAGATGAGAGAAATCCCTAGCAGACCTTTTCTCCTTGGATAATTTTTAAAGAAGTTGGCCCTTCATAGATAGCTTGGCTTTCATGATCCGCCCCTAACCTATTGGACCGTTGCGTTGTCATAGCCCCCGATTGTTGGAGGGATACTTTCAAACTTTCGCACGTCACATATCACCAGCACAAAATTGCACTTCAGATTTCTCATTTTTTTTACTGTCTAGTTTGTGGAGGAGCTTCCCGAAGAAGATGCATACACTGGAGCTCTTCGTGGCGAAACTCTGCCACGGCACGGCTTTCGACCCGAGTCTGGGCCAGGTGAACGAGGTTTGAGGTGCCGCACCTGTTGGCCGCTTATGGCTTCTGATGATTGGAATGTTGCGCCATGCGCCATGCAGCTATGCAACCATGCCACTGCCCAGTCCCTTTCCAATTGACGCCGATGTTGCCAGAAGGCCACTTCGCTGGCCAGACAGCTCAATCATAGAGGCTGCACGAGAAATCTCCCACGATTCCTCATAGCAGCGCCTTACCTCAAACTTTTGACAGAAGATGCAGTCGGAGAGTTGATTCAAACTATCAGAGATCATAGCTACCCTACTGCATGACTGCTAACTGCATATGTAGCTGTATGCAATTACAAATTTCAATTTTTATGGTTCCTTTGAAGGACGCCTTTTCGGCAAGATCAACCTCGACTTGATCAACCAAATTGGTTGCTTGACTTAATTTTTGGGTAAATCAACCGAAATCGTAGGTTTCGCTAAAACATCTGGGGGATGAAGTAAGTGTCCTATTGAACACATCTACTCTTGTTTCTCTTAATGTCATCCAGAGGTTGAAACTTGCTAATATGTCTAACGCATTAGACTATCATCAATGCTATTTAGTAACCAGGCTCGAATCTCCTGACGGTTGGCGCCTGATTTTTAACGAGGTTACAAATTTTCAATCTAAAGATTTGGTCAATGTAACCCACGGAAATATAAACCAAAAAATATTAACCGCACGTTTACGTTACTTTGTGTTCTACTTATTTCCAATTTCAACACATGGTTTCGGCTGTAGTTGTGCTTGACTTGCATTTCTAGTGTCGTTACATCTCCACTGGTGTGCACTGCAGTCCCTTCATAGAGAGAGTTGAGACAACGCAGCTTATGGATGTCACAAACGGGAATAAAGCTTACACAAATCGGACTTTTTTGTAATCTTTGATCAACCCATTCCCGAATGCCTGTCTCCGTTCCCTCTCTCATTCTATTTGCTCCTTTCCGTACTTCCAATTACCCGGTCCATTCCAGTTTATAATCTTTGCAATCGGTGAAAATGTAATCTTTAATCCCGCTTGTGACACTGTGAAGGCCTAAAATAAGGGAATCAATCAGAAATGGGTTCTCATTGTCTTTTCTCTCAGAGTTCAGGGAATGCCTGTCTCACTTCCCTCGCTCATTCTATTTACTCCTTGCCGTACTCCCAATTTCCCGATCCATTCCCGTTTATAACCTTTGCAATGGTGAAAATATAATCTATATTCCCGCTTGTCACACTGTGAAGGCCTAAAATAAGGGAATCAATCAAAAATGGGTTCTCATTGTCTTTACTCTCAGAGTTAAGAGAATGCTGTCTCCCTTCCCTCTCTCATTCTATTTGCTCCTTGCCGTACTCCCAATTTCCCGGTCCGTTCCAGTTTACAATCTTTGCAATTGGTGAAAATGTAATCTTTATTCCCGCTTGTGACACTGCGAAGGCTTAAAATAAGGGAACCAATCAGAAATGGGTTCTCATTGTCTTTACTCTCAGAGTTAAGGGATTCTACTGTGCACTGCATTCTTGAGGATCGAAAGCTGTGGAGCTTGATTCCATGTACTCAATCTTCTTGAGCGCTTTTTGGTCCGGCTAGACTGATGCGGGTACACCGGCGCCCACCCAATAACGGGACGAGTGGCTGTACTATCACCGGTCTGCTGCCCATCGGGAGCTTTTTCCCGTAAACTCGCGACCTCGTCACGTCCAGCCCGAAAGTCGGGCGTCAAGCCAAGGTTCATTGATGACCGGAGAACACGAAAAAAAGAAGAAGAAATTACCGAGCCTGGACAACAGACAACAGCAGTGACACGCACCTCTCAGGCTCATCGATACCGCCGCTCGGTGGACTCGAACAAGAATCAATGAGATTTTCGTAGTTGGTAGGTTAGGGATCCATTGGTCCTTCGGAAAGACATGCTTTCATGAAAGTTTATCGAAAGAATTTAAATGGTGAAAGTTCAGCAAATTCCATTCAGAAATTTTGGGAAATTTTCTCAGCAAAATGAAATTTTATGTGTTTCCTGACTTTTTCGGCAAAATGAAATTTCATTTTACGTCTCAACATCTCTGGGAGTCGATTTTTAAAACTTATGTCTGACGAACTTAGATGAAATGAAGCGTAAATGGGGAAGTGTAATTCGTCGGCTAGATCTTATCGCTACTTAATTGTCGTGCCACTCCGTGTGTGAAATGGACGACGAGCTTTAGATAGAACTTTTACGTGTTTTTACCTTAATCATCTTACACAAAAATCTCGGTTAGATGAACCGGTAAGTTCATTATGAGCTTTTTAGTGCGAAATACTAAACCCTCGCGGGAGCTTTCATCCTCGGTTGCTAATTCGAACTTCAAATTCGATAAACTAAAGGATCCAGTTTCATGGACTAAAAAACTCCAGTTGGTATCGAAAATTATTAATTTTTGTTAAACCAACAGTAGAGGCCGGTTTGCACGGCCGAAACTCAGTCCTCCAGACCGAAAAGCTCCCACTAAACTTAACAGTCCGTAAAACCGAAGTTTCTATTTCGAAACGTGCACTAGATGGTTTCCCACGCAGAAATACGGATTTTCACGAAACTTCAAAAAGGTGAGAAATGAAATCCTGTGAAATTTCCTTAGAAAAGTGAAATTCTGTGATAAATTGCCTCAGCAAAATGAAATTTCATGAAACTCTATTCTGTGATGATTTGCATCTCTGTTGCCGCGTGACCTTCAGCTCAAATATTACAGCGCGTGATGTTACGCGGCTTCAACGAGGCACTCTCACCGAGGAGTACACAGGCGGGTCAGCCAGGTCAACTGTGCGCCGATCCAGTGTGCGTTCGTGCGTGAGCAGCGGAGAAACCGTTGGGACGACAGCGATCCGCGCCCGGCTGCCAGGTCGCGGGGGGAACCGCGGCATTCCGGCCGGGAAAGGCGGCAATTCAGTGTGAGCGTGGACTCGGAGGATCCGTGCGCGGCGCGGGCCCGCAGGCCGTGTCAAGTGTGGGGTGGCCTTCGAGAGAGGGAAAGGGGACCGCCAAGGACACGTCCGCCGCCGCGTTCCACGTCGACGTCGCTTTCCCGAGCGCTGATCGGGTTCCGAGAAAATTGACGTTGACGGGAAAAGGCGCGCCCGAGCTCGAGAGAGAGATCACGGAGCCGTGCCCGGGCCCTGGGGCTTTTTCATTAGACAATCGAAAGTCGAACGAAATCCCATCTGGAGATGAAGTAATTTGAAGACTCGCTTTCGTGAGAAGTGAGTGAAGTGACTTTCGGGGATCCGGTATTTTCCTCCAGCAGTAAGTAACATTCGTTCTGTTCAGTTGCCATAGCGTCAAATGCTCTTAAAATCGACCTTGGCTCCTGGAAAATGGAGGCTCCGACCAGACATGGCCCCTGGAAAATTGCCGCTATCCTAACTTCGCCTCTTAATGAAAACAGAAAAAGAATTGGACCACATTTTGCAATAAGAACCTCTATTTCTGGCTCATTTTAGAAACAACGAATGAATCGTCAATTTCCCTTTTCAGAAAGGTGCTTTTATGAAAGCGCCAGAGATTGTGGTTCCTTAAAATAAAATATGATCCAATTTTTATCTAGTTTCTTTAAATGGACAAAAAATGAGAGTACTTCTGATTCTTCTATTTCTAATAGGGGGTCATAAAGAATTATTTTCAAGTTGAACTAAACTCTAAATTGGGAAGATTAAAGGCGGCCTCTGCCCTGCCCTGAGATTGAGTCTTATGGAGGAATACATTTTCAAACCTCCTATCTTAGGTTTGAAATCGGCGTGACTTATTTTTTTTTTAAACTTGATCAAACCAAAGCATAAATCGATCGCTAAACTTTGAAACCAATAATCTCTACTGGAACTTTTTACCATCTTCATGTGTGCTTATTTTCTAGAAAGAACAAAGGATTATTATGATTGAATATTTTTGAGGGAAATATTTCATCCGATTTTTTAATCCTTCCTAAGTTAAACTGAAATAATTTTAAGCCATGACGTAGATTTATTCTTCTTGAAAGAAAAACGACACGCAAATATTTGGAAATTTTGTAACTGATTGTGAGTTATGTGGTATTGGAGGTTCAGTCTAATCATTGATTTGCAGAGAGAATGTAAAACTCAAGCCTGGTCCTCCAAGCTGAAAGTAACCGCTTGAACGTATTACGAGTCGCTGATCAGTCACTATAGAGCGAACTTGAATGAACGTTGATCCCCACCTTTTCTTGAAGAGTTCATTTCCATTTACTATAATACGGGTTCTTAAGAACATTTTTTTCAACTTATCTCGTATGGAAGAGCATAAATCCATCTTCATTAATGATCCCTAGATCCAGGAAAATTTGCAGTAATGTTAGCCTGAAGGAAACATATGTGTTTGTTGTGACGGCATTTTTTTTTTTCGGTCAACGACGGATTATGAGATGATTTATGAAAAAGATGCACGAAGGATATAATTTATAAATTTAATTTGTAGTTAGAGGAAAACTGGACTCCAAAATAATGTAAGCCGCATTGAATGACTTAAAAGTTGTTCCCCATAGCAAAGGAGTTGTCGACTGATTATAAGTAAAAAACGACTCTGCCATTTTTCTGTCTCTGACACATCGGGTCTCACAAAAGTCCTGACTTGAACCTTGAGCTAGAAATAATAATTCCTTATTGCAAAATATATAGTCAAAATTGAGGATTGAGCAATTGAAAATTTAGCTCTCCTGCTCATCGACGGGTTAAAATCGATTTTTCTGGTAACCATAAAATATTATACACATTAATCTTTAAATACTCGTTCAGGTGTATGAATATTCTAAAACAGATAATATAATTTTATTCTGCAGAATGTTCTGAGAAATATATACTGAGTACACAATCACGTTGTAGTATCTCGAGTTTCGGAGGAAAATTTAAGGAATCGGTCTAGCGCATAAAATATATGTGCTTTCCGGCGTCAATTTTATGTTAAAAACTGCAAACTCGTTTGGTGAAACTCGTTGAAGTTTAAGTGAAGAGACTAAAGAGTCAACTACGTGAAACCATTAGCCTGGGGTCAGAGAGTGTCAGGTACTTGGGATTTTTCCATCATGAATTCACGATAATCATAAATACAGAGTACAATTAGCAGGCGCGCAAAAATAGAGTTACGGTGGTAATGACCGATGAATCAGAGAGCTGTCACCTGTGAGAACGTTTTGGTTCTCGCTAGGCAAATACAGAGTCTCCAATGGCTCCTTGGTGACAGGTGGAACCTCTCCATTCAGGGCTTATCACACTCAGGGTCGTCTCCAGTCATTCCTTAAACAGCTCTTTTCCATAAGATCATTTACGGTTTCAATTAATTGAGAAAGTTCTAAGGAAATCTTTAATATAGCATGCATCATGAAAAGGACAATTTTTTATGGACCTCGAAAAAATTCACCGGTATAACTATGAGAGGACATTTTTGCGAGCGATTAGAATGATTTGCCACTACAACATTTACAAAGCACTAATAAAAAAAATATTTGGAATTTTGAAACTAATAAGATAGGTAAAACTCTTCTTTTTTGTTCAAGACTCGTTTTACGGATGAACCCAACCCAGATTCTAAGTAGATAACATCGCGGTCGTCTGACTTTGAAGACGCTAAGATACGCCACCAAGTCCAACGCCTTGATACAATTATTCGTACTCGATGGATGTCCATGTTGCATAGCCAAAAATTGAAGGCGCTTACGCTTTCTTCATGCCGACCGTTGGTAAGTACGACGCAGCAATGCGACGTGATAGTGCGATGTGCGCCGTTCACATTTGTGAAGGGTATAATTCCCAAGAGTTTTTATTTATTTATCAAAAAAAAAAGATCATCAATTTCACGTGACGCTTTCGAAGACTATTATCGTGTAAGCAACATAAATCATTCTGAATGCGAAGTGAAAGTGGTTGATTTTTCTCATCAGAGGAAAATGAGACTGAATGATTACAGCGATACAAACCTAACTATGGGGTGTTCTCGTTTCATTTTAAATCCGTATTGTAAAACTTGATAATTTTATTTTATATAGATCATACATATCTGTTATTATTTCTGCAGGATCGAAGGTACGGCAAAAGATTCATATCGAGCAAGTTGTGCTATTCAGGAAAGGTATGAGCTCCATAAAAATAAAACGGCCAATACGTAGGAGTCAGACGGCTAAAAACTGTAGAGCCTGCAAGGAAAGAGGGCATTTGAAGTTTCGATACTGGCACTCTGCTTCAAATGTCCACGTCTATTAAAGAACGCATGTCCATTCTTAAGAGGCCGAATCCGTCGCTTAATGGGACAATCAACACGTTCGAATTAGGACTTCAAAAAGACGACTATAAAAAACTGCGACAATAAAATCTAAGTACCCGATGAAAGAATCAAAATACTTCACCCAAGGACCATGTGACATATCTGAGGCTGGTTTGCAGTGCTGCGAGGTCAATCTACAAATAACCGATTTTTCAAGCTTTTCTCAGAAAATTTCAATGGGTCAGTTGCGCTGGTCACAGTATCGTTTTTTGATGCTTAAATTGCTTGACTCTTGTAGTTCAGCTAAAAATAATAAGATCTGTCCAGACATCAACTCTCTAGATTTAGTATCAACTGAGATATCGCCTTTTGAAAAGTAGCATTTTTGACGTCATCCACTGCGGTAGTGACACCCTTGGTTTCTTCCTTCTTGGTCAGTAAGACGTATATTTGCACTAGTTACTCAACGACAAAGTCAAGATACTTTTTTATCCTTGGCTCAGAATTAGGTTAAATGAAATTGTAATGAAGGGTGGGATACGAACATTTTAGCACCAAAAATGCTTTCGAAGATCAATATAAAAAGAAATAGGACAGCGCAACTTATTTTCAGTGTACTGAAGAAAATTCTCGGTCGCACATTTAGAAACGGCTTTTCTTCCCCTCGAAATTCGACCCTGAAAAATTACCTGCATGTCTCCCTTGCCCTTCTCCCGTTGACAAAGACATAATTTTATCAATATTTCTAGGGAGAGCGGCAACGCTGTATTGTGCAAACAATCCACTGCGCTACAACAATAACTTTTGCGAAAATGATGTCATTAACGAGCGATGGCCGAAGTGACTGGCACGCGGTCGGAGCGCGACTTTGGCCGGACATTTAAAGAGCTCTTGTCCCAAGGAGAGGCGTTAAACTCTTCCGCCTATGCTGCCGCCCACTCGGACAAGGCACCGCGGGAAAAGGCAAGAAAAACAACTCCGCCGATGCGAATCGCCTTCTACTCGCTCGGCACGAGAGAACCTGGTTCAATTACATTCCTAAGTTTATGCGTAAGCTTGTTAATGTGCGCACGCTTTTGATTGCTTTGATCTCTTACCGCATTTGACACAATGAGAAGATATCAAGCTGGATTTCTGAAAATGTAGATCGTATGATTTGGATTGGGTTTGATAGCATCGGCTCATCGTCTGCATGATGTGTGCGTATGTGCAATCAAGAAATCGAAGAATCTCGGGAATCTAGTACCGCAGGTTGATTATTGAAATTTATAGACGACGCGATAGAAAAAGAGGACAGAGGGGGATTGGAGCAATCCTATAGGTAGAAGCAGTTGAAGTAATATGGACAAAGGAGGAGAGAAAGAGACTAACTGACGGCAACTCAAGAGCGACCATATAGTTTAACAACCACCTGATTCATCCGAAAGGATCGTTCCATTTTCCGTGTATCTTCTTTGTCGATCAATTTCAATAATCAGCCCGGAGACCTCCGGGTCATCTCCCGTGACTGCTAAAAAACGGCGATTTTCCGACGGCGACGACTGACGAGGCGGCGGAACAGGTTCAAGGCGAATCTGGAGTATGTCGGCCGCGTATCGCGCCTCCTTCCTGCTTTCCTGCCGCCGCCGCCGCCGATGGTCATAGAGCTCACTTGCTCGCACAACGCGCAAGCAACGAGCAGTTAAAGAGTAATCGATGATTGAAAATAGAGATGCCCGATTAGGCTCGCTCGTCCCCGGCGATTTCGCGCGCGTTGCCGCCGGACCGCGCCGAGGAAAATCAGGGGAGAAAAAAGAAAGTACCCTCATTTCCCTCTTGGGAGGATTCACTCGAACCAGCCGGCCGATTATTAAAATTGATAGATAAAGCTATAGACAAAAAAGACAATAGAGGTATGGAGGGATCCTATTGGTGGAAGCGGGTGGTTGCAATCAGGGTGTCTACTAAAACAGGCTGCTCAAAAATAAGAGTTTTTACAGTACTTTTTAGTACATTCTCAAGAAATTCAGTAACTCCTCCAACAGAAAAATTCCGTACTTTTTCAGTACCTCCATTGGAAGAAATTCGAAATTTTTCAAAAATTTGAAATTGCGACAAAAAAGACAAAACATTTCGGACCTTTTTGCGGAATTTCCACATTTTTTCAGTGCTTCCAGACCGCCCTTAAAAATCAGTACTATTTCCGGACCTTTCGGAAATTCCGGACTTGTAGACACCCTGGCGATGGACAAAGGAGATAGGTAATAGACTGACTGAATGCAACCCAAGAGAAGCCTATACTTAGTCCATCATTTTCTCCCGTCGGCTGTAGGAACCATCCATCTCGACCTATGGGATCGCTCCATAGTCCCTTTGCTTCTTTGTCTACAGATTTGTCTATCCATTTTAATAATCAGCCCGCTGGCTGGAAGTTAAGTTTGATTGACATCGTACGTTGTTTTTTCATACCCTCGTACCCCTCGTAGAGATAATTATCTAAGACCAACAGAGCGAGGAAGAAGAAGTGAAAGCAAATTGTGCGATATTTTGTTGTTTACTCAATTGTTCATACCTATTTGTTTTAATAAAATAATTTTGAATTGCTAATTGCGTTCAATTATTATCTTAATCACGGTTAAAAACTCAATTTTCAACCAATTTATCTTCGCGTGCAAACTTGTCTTGTCGCAGGAAAAGGAAAGCCCCGAGCCGCGGTGACGGTAACTGGGTCAACCCCCAGAAGTTAAAATCCTGCGATTCGAATTTGGGACAAATCCCATAAAAACGCCCCGTGAAGACAAGGCCTAGATCAGTTTATGAAGTTTTCTCTTTGAACTACATAAATCTAAAGTCACTACAGCAAATAAATGGTGGAAAATACGTTCTTGTTAGGCTGCATTCTATAACTTTATACTATTCCATATTCTACATCTATCTACTCTATGGCATCTCTGCACGCGTACATCAGTCTGGAATACCGTGTACCTATTTTCTCGTGTCGCATTAGATAGTTCAACCAGGATTTGAAGCGTTGATCAAGATGATTAATTTCAGTGGCGTGCCGTGCTTTGCGATATATCGATTGATCTGTCATTTAAACCTACGTAAAAAGAATCGATAGACCTACCTATTTTCTTATCTCGCATTAGATAGTTTAACCAGGATTTGAAGCGTTGATCGAGATGATTAATTTTAGTGGCGTGGCGTGCTTTGTGATATATCGATTGATCTGTCATTTAAACCTAAGCATAAGAGTCGATAGACATGGTGTTCGTAACGAACACCTTAATAATCGATTCTTTACAATGGCTTCAAATGGGGAAATATCGATAATCGATCGTTCACGCCACGCCACTGATTAATTTGATATCGGCAACAGGGGCATCCGCGCTCGCTTTTCCCCGGACATTCAAACGCGTCTCGCGTACGACCCAGTCCTACTTCCTTACACTACACGCAACCCCCCCNCCTTTTTCGTGAGCCCCCCTTTCCCGTGAAATGAGAGAGTGAGTCATCGGCGATACCTCACTGTCACTGACGTGTTGTTCAGCGCTGCAAGCTTCATATTGACACCAGGTGAGTCGAACATACCATGAATGCTGGGATATGAACCTCAAAGATGGGGCTTCCCTTGTAAACAGCCGAGTCTTCGGTAGGAGTCGGAAATAGATGAATCGGGGCATTGGCGGATCCAGCAAATTGGCAACATTGTCTTTTCTCCGTATAAATCTATGGAAATGTATCGATTTTTGAAGGGGCCAGATGCTCTAACAAGAGTCGATTATTTGACATAGGTTTAAATGGAGAAAATCCTGTGTTGCCGAATTGCTGCATGGATCCGCCCATAACCGGGAGCCGCTTCTCACGAATGAAGTCATGAATTTCTTCTTAACGTTGAGAAAAGATGCTATGCTCTGTAGGTAGAGGTATCAGTTAAAGAGTTATATGTAGAGTATAAGTTAGCTTTCACAGATTTTACCAGAACATACTCGAAGCAAGTAAATTTGTAAGTGATGCAATTGTTTTTAAGTGACAAGTTTCATGCTTTCCTACCTAATTTGCGCAAACCAAATCCTGGGCACTCTGAAACGGCCTCTATTCTTAGGCCTCATGTTTCAGGTAAGTATACTTTTTTCATTTCCGTGGAATGGCATTACATGGACTTTCGGTAGGTACCAGCTGGACCCTCACAGGACGAAGCACGAATTGGGCCAGGGTTAGTACCTATCCAAAGCCTAAGTTACGTCATTTGACCAATGTTTCTAGGCATGAGCAGCAAAACATTTTGTCGCATACCCTCGTTTCTTTAGTCCATTCCATCTACGTACTGTTTAGGACCATTGGGAATATTATCATCCCAGCGGGCTGATTATTGGAATTGATGGACAAAGCTATAGACAACGAAGACAAAAGGGATACGGAGGGATCCTATTGGTGGAAACGAGTGGTTGCCATAGACGAAGGAGGTAGGTGCTAAACTAACTGACAGCAACCTACGAGAGACCCTATAATTAGTCCATTATTTTCTCCCTTAGTGTATAGAAACCATGCATTTTAACCAATAGGATCGCTCCATACTCCCTATGTCTTCTTTGTCTATAGCTTTGTCTATCGATTTTAATAATCAGCCCACAGGGATTTGTAATTATTTGATGGAAAAAACCACAGAAACCGATGAGAAATGGACGGCCCAAAAAAATCCTTCCTTATGACTGTGTGATTTAAAGGGCCTCAAGTCTTACTTCTGTTCCTAAAGAAGCAACTTCCTCGGTGCCATTCAGGTGGAGTAGAATTAAATTTTCGCGGTCTCGAGAGAGATACAGATCAGTCCGGCCGGCGCCGACAGACATGCAGTAACGACCCATTGTGACCGGGGCACAAGGCCAGGCGCAGTCACATACTCGGTCGTGAGTGCGGATTTTGTCCACGCGAGGCGTTGGTGCGCTACGGAGCGGTGCGGTGCTGGCAAGGTCACGGAAGTGACCAGTCCACTTGACTGCTGCTCCTTGCCCCTTGGGCGACGACCGCGGTTGAATGACACTCCAATCCTCCAATCCGACCCAACAACTAAATAGCGCGGCTTGAGCCATCTCTTGAATTATACTTGTAACGGGATTGGCTTGCACAACCATTTGGGCAACGCCGTACTACCAACCGATGCCAACTTCGGATGAAAGAATACAAGTTTTCTCATGCGAAACAAAAGTTTATCGTTGTATACGTTGTAATCTAGGCGACTTTACAAGCATTCTGCCAAGCTAAGGAAGAACGCTGTATGTACATTCGAGAGTTGCCGAATTTCCCCGGATAAAACATGTATTTTTGACGAAATTTATGCATATTTTTCCTTGAAATTTTCGCGTATTTTAGATTAAATTGCTAGCGAAATAGTCTGAAAAATTGGAAGAAAAATATTTCTAATTTCCCCAATAAATTCGTAATTTATCAGAGGAAATTTGGCAACGCCTGGATGTTCATACGGCGTTTTTCCTTAGCACGGCAGCATTACGCTCCGGAGTGCACTTTATCGACTTGCGGTGTAAATAGAACTGTATCGCAGAGTTTTCATAACTCGTATTCTTTGAGCCCAGCTCTCCAGACTCCAGCAGAGTCCAGCCAATAAAAAATGACCCACTGAATGTCGACAAAACATGCGCTGGGCATTGCGACAGTCACTGCATGACTTTTACGTTCAGCATCCTGCGGCCAGTCAAAGATAGATCATTTGGTCCACTGGACCACGCTCGAAACCAATTCATAATTAATTTTTTCACCACTCGTTGCCACCCTACGGCACCGATCTGGCGCAGTTGGGCGACCGTCCGGCTGAATTCGAGGACCTTTCTCTCCTCTTTTGTTTGGTATACCTATTCCATCTTGCGAAAGCTCCGATTCGTCGAAGTCCAAACAAATGATTTGTTGCTCAATATATCTGTAGACCAGGGGCTAAAATAGCACTGGGCCCACACTTTGCGAGGAAAACAGGGCCAAAAAGTTCCAAAATTTCAATTAGAGTTAAAATATTCTAATGCAAGCTGCATGATCTGAACTCTCTCCCCCTCAGTCTTGTGCTGGCACTCACTAGAGCTCAAAATTATTTTGATTCTGGTTGAAATTTTCGAAATTCTTGGCCTTGTTGTCCCCGTAAAATAGTGTGGACTGTTTCACAAATTTGTTACATACAGGTCAGGGGTTGTTTTTCACTTTTTTGTTGCTTTTTCCCGTATATCAGTAGACAATATGGTTAATAATATATTGACAAAAAGGTGGAGAAATGGTGCTGGGTCCACACCATTTCGCGGGGAAACAAGGCCAAGAGATTCCAAAAATTAAAATTAGAGTCAAAATGAAATTTTTTGAACTCTAATCCGCACCAGTTTGAAACTGAGGAGGGAGAGTGTTCAGCTCAGGCGTATATTGACAACTCATTAAGAAATTCAAGATAATGTTTTCCTTTTTCTTCATTAATTTAGATGAGAGACGGGAATATTTTTAGTGTATAATGACATACGGGTGCGTCTCAGGGGGCACTTTTACTGTCCGGAGGACTATTCCTATTTAGAATCCTGCGTGACTTGTAAAAAATGGGGAACACGTGGAAAATGTCGTGAGGATTGAAAAAGCATCTTGAAAGAAAACAAACTAAAGAAGTAATAGGCCTTCCTAATGAGTTGAAGTCACCGGGCTTCGAAGTCATGCTGCTCTCTCTGCCTCTCTCTCGTTTCATGGATTCAGTTGAAGATAGCTGTCAATTTTCTTTTTCAATATCAAAAGAAAGGGGTTAGAGGCAAAAGTCTGAAATGAAGCGGGAAGTTCCAATACTTTATGGCTGGTCTCTTTTTTATCACCAAGCGCACAAAGACAACGCAAAGACAGTCACGCACAAAGGTACCTCAAGCATTAATATTAATACTCAACCGAGGACTGACTTTTGTTAAATGCAATTTTGTGCTCAAACCGGAAATTAGAACATCCCAAGATGCCTTTTTCGCATGATCCTTTTCCTCTTCTTCTTTTCATTTGATCAATGTTGAAAACATGCGTAAATATTTATCTCAGTGATTTGTTTTAATACATCTTATCCCAGGGCAAACTTTTCGGTGTGAGCCAGTCATGCACAAAACGGTTCAAGTCATACCTACTTTAAGGGATCAAGGGTAATTTTTTTTCAAAGACAAATTATTTTGAACTCACCGAAGTTTCAGCTAGAAAAGACGCCGGATTTAAAACCTGTAACAGAAACAACAAGAAATGTTAAATTAGTATAATCATATCGGACAAATAGGCAAAAATGCAGTAAAAACGCTAAATTACATGAATACAACTCAAAAGGAAGTTATTGCGGAGTTTGGGAGACTTGAACACGCAGTTACAAAAGTTAGAATCAGCGAAGCGCTGCTTGGACCGTTTATCTTCATCTCATTGAACCAAAATCCATATGTGATGTCACAAGCAATAAATCAATGAGATCAGACCAGACGACGCGACGCGACTCGACAGACGACAGACGACACTCGGTCTCAATGAGGTCTCTCAAAACTAATTGCAAATTATTTCCTCCCAGAATTTTAAACGGCGAGTCGCGAAATGTCAAGGCCTAGGATAACCTAGAAAACATCCCGTTTGACAATCGGTGCGCATCCCAGTGGTGCCGTGCTGATATGAGGCAAAACGCCGTAAGAGCATTCAGACGTTGCAAAATTTCTTCCCTTGGAACAAAATTTTCTGGAAAACCTGTCTATTTTTACCTCGAAAATGTGTTCAAAATTTAATCCGCAATTTTTCCTATTTACCTGAAAATTTTACCTTAAAATATTAATTAATTTTCCAAAAAGAACACATTTTACCGAAGGAAATATGACAATGATCGAATGACGGTGTTTCACTTCAGCACGGCATGAGTTTTCCAGCATCCATTTTTCCTCGAGCTCTGAACCCAAATGTCATTTCCTACCAGGCGGCCGAAATCTAAATTACAATGGTTCGCAGAGATTAAATGGCACATTTCTCAGGAAATCGTGGTCATAACTCTGTCGCGCACGCTCGGATTAATAGTAGCTGACGAGCGAAGTCTTCCTCCTTGCTTTTGGAATGCAAAACATTGTTGTGAATGCTATCAGATTGGCTTAGATTTTTACCCAGGAAAAGGATATTAAAGATTATGTAATATGTAAAAATCAAGTATACTGCGCATTGGTATCGGAGATAAATAGACTCCCTTTCCTGGCCTTTTGGCGACAGGAGGAAATTTTTACCGATTTGGGGACCCGACATTTCCTTGTGGACAACGATTTTAAGGCCGCAGTAGTCATTTTGCCTTCTCATCAGCTGTTGTGCTGCTGGAAAAGCAGTGCGTCCGTCACGTTTACCAGACACCGGTTTCTATTTGCTGAACTGTGCACTGGAAAAAAAACACATTGGATCTAGAGTCCAGGCTCTTAAAAACATCGACAAGAAAAAGTACTCTTGATTCAATCAGAATCTAGCTTAAATCAAGAATCAAGCCTCTTAATTTAAGCGGATTTCGTTTTGATTCAAGCAAAAGTCCGATTGAATCAACAGTATTGTTTCTAGTCAATGTTTTCATGAGTCTGGAATCTAGACCCAATGTGTTTTTTTTTTTCCAGTGTGGCGGGTAGCTCTCATGTTTCCACTATGTTCCACTATGTTTCCACTTATGTTTTTCAGAACAGAAGCTTAAAATGGAGCTATACCTATATCGAAATCTGGCCAATTACGTCACCAAAATTCCGATTAATTGTTACATTTTGAACTCCCGTTTGGATCGTGGAAACAGAACTTTTACCCTTAACACGTCTTTCAACGTCCTACGAGAAGGTTGAACAACGGGTGAATAATGCACATAGTCCTGAAAATAATAGCATTCACTACTGCCAACATATCAAAACAAGGGATTTTTTTTTTCATTCCTGATTAGTATTCCAAATGCTGAGACAACAGAACATTGTGAGGAAAAAGTAATTTGATGTTTTTAAGCGATGGCTCCTTCAATTTGAATGGTTATGCAAATTCAACAACAAAAACCGAAACGAGGGTTTTACACTCACTGTAACCCGTCAATGTATCCCTTCACCTGAGTCATGTTTAAAATTATCGACCCAGAAACACCGCGGCAGCTCCAATGAGTCTTCAACGCCGAAAGCTGCTTGCTTCATCTTCACACCTGTCTAATGCTCGGTGCTCACGTAGTTCATTACGATGAAAATCATGAGCGGAGGGTTAATCCAACGGATGTGTTATCTCATCCAAGTGACTCTGAGGATCTCTGCTGTTTCCTCCCCTGCCGCGGACCCTGCCGGCGTCCGTTTCCAGTGGTCTCCGTTTCACGTTTCGACACATGGGACATGGACATTGGACATGGAGCGCGGAGCAGTCGGATCTCCGTACTCCGTATCCGCAATCCGTATCGGATGACTCTGGGCGACTTGATCCGCGGCGCTGGGACCGTATGACCGTATCCGTGTCCGAAGAGTGCTCCACGGGTGATTCTTTGCTCAAATAATGAGCACAATCGCCCGAATCAGATCGGAACGCTCGCCTTTGCGTTGCCGTGCGTTTTCCGAAAAGGGAATTATTACCTCTCATGTGGCAGTGTGAACGTGGGGGCGGAATGGGAGCACAATAATATGTGAATTGAACCACGGCAAATATCGATGGCTGGAGTCGAAAAATGTATACCTCAGATGGAACGCGTTGGAAAACCTCCGAATACACTTCATTTTTTCAAAATAAAACTATCTGGAGTACGTCCTTAAAATTTTTGAGGAATAATATTGCATCCGAGAAATAAATTCCGATAAAATTTTTTACGTTTTTTTCCAAAAAGCGTTGATTTTTTTTACAAATAATGTTGATATTTTGACAAAAAAAAAGGTTGATTTTTTTTACAAATAGTGTTGATTGTTTTACAAAAATTGTCGAAGTTGTTCTTTATTTTCTTTTCTTTTTAAACAAATTAAACGTGATTAACAGTTTTAAACAGATTGTTGTATTCGAGTTGAGGTCATTGGCCTAAAACGCTATAGTACATAAGTTGAATTCAAATCGAGCGCTAATCAAAAAGGTTCTCAAGTTCGTTTCTCAGTCGATAAACACGACGCGACTTATGTTGTAGCACCTGGATACAACTATTCCTGCTCCGGGGATGTCATTGTTGCATACACATAATAAATGAAGGCGCTTCGATTTGCCTGATTCGCGCGGCGATTTGCTCACGCGTGGAAGTCCCTGATCAGAGGCAAAAAGGGCAACCTCGATTTGATGTAAACGTTCACCTCGTAGAATTCAAACCCTTTTGGGACCTCACTTTCACAAAAATAACTGCCGCACAGTGGTCGGTAGAACTGATAGAGGAGGTCGGATATGAAACTTGTGGCTAAAATTTCAAATTCTTATATGTATTTCGTCACAAATTCAAGTGTAAATGGTGTTTTTGAGAGGAAATTTCACGAAAAAACCAATGAAACCACTTTTAAACTATTTTGTTTCATATTTTTGAGAATATAAGCTTTGAAAGTTGCAAGATTTGGTCCGACTTCCTCTATTGACCCGGTCCAATTTGTGCCGTGTCAGACTGAGCTGTATTGCGACGCTTTTCAATTCGGCCTGAATATCACATTTCCTGAAAGCGACTCACTGGAGCGTTCCTATTCCAAAATCTTCATGGAATAGCCCACAGCCGTCTCGACTTCCGATTCTCGAATTGGCCAACAGGATTTCTGCCAAAATCATGAAACTCGTCTAATCGCGTTTCCTCTCCACTCGCCAAGGAACCGACGACGAGGAGTCAAGGTTGGTCGGCGAAGAACTATACTCGAGATAGATGACGCAATATCTCATCATTTCATCAAACATTTGCCCCGATCTAGGATCGCGTCGTGTCTTGGCCAGCGTCGCGGCGCTCGGGAAGCAAATTCCCGGAAAAATCCACGGATCGTCAGGCCTGATCAAGCAGCGGCACGATTGGCCGGCTCCTACCGGGAAATACGCGGTGCGGTGGCTGCGGGTTGCCGTGGATTTTCGTGCGGCCAGAACAATGAAATTAATGACTCCATTCCGGGGCCTGGTCACACCCGATCTGAGCTGCCGCCTCGCGTGCGCCCGAGCCACGTGAGAATTTTTCAAATGCCGACCTCAAGGAATGCAATTTCGGCTGAAATGACTAACCTAACAAGTGCAAATAGTTCCATCAGTCGGGAATCATCGAGGGTCTTTCTGAAAACTTCGAAACCTCTGAAAAAATGTACGGCAATGGAGATGTTGCATGTGTGAGGAATTTGCGATTTGACTATTGGTTCTTATGTAATATTTCGCGAGAAACACGATGGTGCCACTGGTTTTCTCTGAAATCAACTCCCAAGCTCAAAAAAGCTCTCAAGTTGGGCCAAAATGGAGGGGATATCACACGCTATCTTGAGATTCCACCTCTACATCAAGACAAACTCTCCATGCAAAGATAGGGAGCAAATACATTAGCAGGGTTGCCGTGTTTTCAGTTTTAGAGTCCCCAGCTAAAGTGGCAGCCCTGTCAATGTATTTGCTCCCTATCTTGGCATAGAGAGTTCGTCTTGATGTAATTATCGTTTCATCAAAATTATGATCGTCTTCCCCCATCATAATTTTGTTTCAAATCTGTAAGACTTGTAAGCAGTTGAGACATAATCCTCTTACATACGCAACCGAATCTTCCTGTATATTTCAGGAACTTAAACAACTGTGCATCGATTCGACATTCGAAAATATTAAATGTCACTAACAATGAATGACAAGAATTTCGTCCGCAAAGTCACGGGACTCCAATCGCTAACGGAAACATTTCTTCAGGTTATTATTTTTAGCTTATCGAAATAATTAGGGGATTTACATTTTTGAATCTTCACGAAAAAAAACCGCACAGTCTGAAAACAATCCTTTTAATCCACGAATTATGAATATTTAATATCATTGTTTAGCATAAAATCGACCAACCATGAATGGTTCGGCAACACTGCAGGAAAAGAATAGCGCATGCGCCCGGAATTTTTGATTCCACCGTCGATACTATAACCCTCACTGTTGTTGTTTCTTTTTTTATTTGGTATGGATGGG